TTTGTTTTTTTTGAATGTCCAGAGGACCAGATTTAACTTTTTTAGATTTAGTTTTTTAGTTTGGTTTCACCAGAGTGTGTAGAGTTGAGATTTAAGAGTAGGTTTTTATACATGAAACATTGTTTGGTGTGCTCATGTTTATTCTCTGTGTGTTAAGTGAGAGCAGCTCTGCTGATTGCATCACAACGTTTATTGTGACGGGTGAAACACTGAACATGCCCTCACTGCTTTCTGGCACAGCCCAATCATAACCTTTGTGGTGTTTCTCTCTTGATATTTAACAGACCACAAGTCAGGAACCAGCTCCCTGGACACTCTGCTGGCCCTGCTGCAGGCAGAAGGAGCCAAAATAGAAGAAGAGACTGAGGTAAGCTCTCTCATTGGTGACCTTATGCATTCCGAGGCATTCATTCATATACAATGAGAAAAATAAGTATTTGAACTCCCTGCGACTTGGCAAATCTCCCACTAATGCCCCTTTTCCACTGTTACGATGCGGATCAGGTCAGTTTGGGTCGGTTCAGATCGGCTCGTGTGTCGTGCTTCCATTTACACTTCTGGACCGGCTCTGTAGGCGGGGACCAGAATCCAACTCGTCTTACCACCTGGTGGCGGTAGTGCTCCCTTAAGCTACTTACTAGCCACCACTAAACATATTAGAAGAAGAACACCCTGAAGGTTTTGTCTCAAGATGTTGTGGAAGAGATGTCATGCTCTAATGGAGTACCTCATGAGCTGTAACTTTTAACCTGATTCATAATCCTACCTTACTGCCTTCCCTGCTTTAAATCCATGTGTTTTTCATTTTAGTATAGATTTTTACAATAAAGATGTATTAAAAATATCTTCACTTTTATTATTTCCAGATATGCACAAGGTTCATGTTAAAATTACAAAACATCACACTGTGCTGTAATCTTTGAAACTGCTTTTACAAGAAGATACAGACGTGAAAACAATTTGGTTAAATTTGGTTTTTAAATTTTAAAGGTTTGTCCATCCATCCATTCCATCCATTTTCCTCCGCTTATCCGGGATCGGGTCGCGGGGGTAGCAGCCTAAGTAGGGAGGCCCAGACTTCCCTCTCCCCAGCCACTTGGGCCAGCTCTTCCGAGGGAATCCCGAGGCGTTCCCAGGCCAGCCGAGAAACATAGGCCCTCCAGCGTGTCCTGGGTCTTCCTCTGGGCCTCATTCCGGTGGGACGTGTCCGGAACACCTCCCCAGGGAGGCGTCCAGAAGGCATCCTAAACAGATGCCCAAGCCACCTCAACTGGCTCCTCTCGACGTGGAGAAGCAGCGGCTCTACTCTGAGTCCCTCCCGGATGATCGAACTTCTCACCCTGTCTCTAAGGGAGAGCCCAGACACCCTGCGGAGAAAACTCATTTCGGACGCTTGTATCCGAGATCTCATTCTTTCGGTCACAACCCAAAGCTCGTGACCATAGATGAGGGTGGGAACGTAGATCGATCGGTAAATTGAGAGCTTCGCCTTTTGACTCAGCTCTCTCTTCACCACGACAGACCTGTACAGCGCCCGCTTCACTGCAGACGCTGCACCTATCCGCCTATCGATCTCACGCTCCATTTTTCCCTCATTCGTGAACAAGACCCCAAGATACTTGAACTCCTCCACTTGGGGTAGGACCTCCTCCCTGACTCGGAGAGGGCACTCTACCCTTTTCTGGCTCAAGACCATGGCCTCGGATTTGGAGGAACTGATCTTCATCCCGGCCGCGTCGCATTCGGCTGCGAACCGCTCCAGCGAAAGCTATAGATCACGATCTGATGAAGCCAATAAGACCACATCATCTGCAAAAAGCAGAGACGCAATCCTAAGGCCACCAAAAC